GGTTTATTGGCTACAGAAGATTCGTATTGTTTGATATTATTACAGTAATGTAGGTTTTGAGAGGACGGAGACGGTTTACTAGCGGTTTTATTCTCGTTGTCAAGAGTGAAGAGTGAACAGAGGGAATTCCGCACCCTGACGTCGCAAGATTTTCTCTGGGGCTCAAAAGCTCTAGAGGATAGGCTTAATCCATCGGTTTTGGAGGTGGAAAATGACTTTGTGCGTCTGAGTTCGGGTAAAAATGAGTTAGGTTTGGCGGGCTTCTGGGGCGGCGGAGGAAGGAAACTGTTAGCTCTGATGGTGGGTTTGAAGGAGGAAGAGGTAAACAGGGACTTTAATGCAGCAGTGGCGGAGGAGGGGTGGCGGGAGGAAGAAGGGGTATTGTTGGAGGATTTGTCTAGGTCAGTAAGGCGCTCACAGAGGCAAGAGGGGCAAAAGCCGTTGAATTTATCATCTGGGTGGCGGTCACAGCTGAAGGAGGAGCGACGTGGCTGCGGTGGCGGCGGAGGTGGTGGTGTTGCGTCTGCAGCCGTGGGATTCATAACTGTCAGAAATCCTAGTCTGCACCTCACCCCTGATCACATCACAACTGCATTGCATTCAGCGAGCTGAGACAAATAAGCAAATGCGAGAGCTATTGTGTGTGTAAAAGAAGAAACTGAAGAGGGCTTTGCTTTACTTTGTAAACGGGGAATCAGAGCGAACAATAGAAGGAGACATAAACGAGGAAGGGAAAGGGTCGCTCTTTTAAATTCTCTTCTTGACACTTTTCAGTTTGATGTTTTTCCATATCTTTTTTCAGTTTGGTATTATAAATAAGTAAATTCATTTTTATTATAATTTTTTTTCCTTAAATCATCATTTCGTAAGTAGATTTCCTTTATGAGTTTTTATGTATTTTTGGAAAAAGAGTCAATCCATTTCAAAAAAAAGTTGAATGCATGGTTATATTTATAAAAATGCTCCCTGTGAAGGGCGTGTAAACGCCCGACTACAAATGAAATTTCTCTTTAAGCTTTGTTAAGATTTGCATATTGATCAAATAATACTCTCTTAACATACGGTTCTCTTTATTTTAAAAAGTTAATCCTTAAAATTATGTCCTTAAAGATTCTTTAAATTAATATTTTAATTTATGAAGGAAAATANTCTCTTTATTTTAAAAAGTTAATCCTTAAAATTATGTCCTTAAAGATTCTTTAAATTAATATTTTAATTTATGAAGGAAAATAATATAATAATTTAAAGGAAAACTAATAAAAATAAAAGATACGAAAGAATAATAAATATTTTTTGGGATTTATATAAAATTATGTGTTAAATATAAAGAGCCAAATAGAGTACTTAAAAAAATTCTCTAAATTGTATAAAATGCACTTTAAAAAATAAAGAATATTTTGAAAATACTCTTGAAAACTAGCACTGCACTTGTCATTTGTATTTTTAACACACGTCTCTTCATATGTCACACGCATCTTATGCATGAGAGCAATATTATCACATTTGAAAATTGTTCTTTTTACATTGGAAAATTTGTATTTCTTTATCTTGAAACTTTTTCTTTTGGCATAACTCATTCGCAATCTTTTAATTAGGTAGCAAAACTTGTTAGTTGTTCTTTCATCCGTTTTGAAAATTTAAATGATGAATTTGTCATTCTTTATAGGCCCCTGTTTGACAATCATTATTGAGGAAAAATAATATTTCGACTGATTTATGTGCATTTGTGTGAATGTGTCGTTAAAAATAAATATGTAGAAAAATGAATTTTCAAATATTGATTGTCGAGCATGAGCTAAATAAACAAACATAAAAGAAATCAGTTAAACAAAACCACACCCCTCGTCAACACCCAGCCCACTCATTGATACAAGTGCTGATATTAATGTAAAGAGTTGGCATTTATATAATCAACATAGCCTTTGTAACATTAGGCATGGAGGTTAATAATGGCAGTCACCAGTCCACAGGGACAAGTGAATGGTTCTTGTTACGTGGGTAAATTTAATACATTACATTTAAATATTATTAAATTCGAAAATATAATTTTTCATTATAATAAAAATGCTCCAATTTTTTGAATTCGATTTTAATTTTTAAGCCATATACTGGACATTTTCCTGACTGTGTAAAATTCTTATTGATATTGGTTTTAAATATAAAATGTTTTTCAAAAAATTATTATTATTATTATTATTATTATTATTATTATTATTATTATTATTATTGTTACGCTCCGATCTTACACGCCTCGGACTCGCAGCACCACATATTTCCGACCTAAAAACGACCCTTTCGAAGTGTTTTCTAAGTGATATGGCGATTCCTATTACTGACCTGACGAAGCATCTCGCCTCTGAGGTCGAGGTCAAGTGGATCCCGGTTAGAAGATTCGCCGCTAATTTGAGATTTGTACCAAGATCCTTCCTGCATTTAAAGTTTAAATTGATTTGACGTCTCCATGATACTAATTGATGTGACTTATCAACTTTATGTCAATTCAACTCAGAAGAAACAAATTGGCCGCCCACTTTACAAACGCGGCTGATTGACGCCTATGAGCGGATGCTTCATACCGTCAAACGTATACACGCGTCCCACATCCAACGGTTCATACCACCTATAAATACCCAAGGTTTAACAAGACGCAAAGGTAATGAAACTCTTACTACATAGCACTCCATAATAAGTTTATATATTTTCTCCTCCCCCTTTATCATTGATTTGCATAGCCCCTGGGTACTATTCCGATCACTTAAACCTGATTTGACCGTCGGAGTTTATACGGCCGTCACCATCTCCGCTGGTTCCGACCGTGTGCGCCTGACTATTCGCTGATTGTGCGTAGAGAGGAACACGTGGAGTAGCTTTAAGTTGGCCACGTGGAAGGACCAATTTTCGGAGTCAACAATTATTATTATTATTCGATCTTAACAATGGTATGATGATTATAGTTCGATTTATTATAAGTTTGAATTTGATAAATTATTTGCAAATCCATCGAATATATTAAAAATCACACTAATGAGCCGTGGCCTATATATAGGTTGGTGATACATCTAAAGTTTAGGTCGTGCGTCTACATACCAATATTTGCAGCGCATGGATGTGCAGTGTATCTATTATCCACTTATTGTACATATTTTAATAATATCTTTGAATAACTAATAATTTATACTTAACTTTAATGTACAATAGAACTACCTCTTTCAGTGTAGGGGTCTACATATATTTTGTTATCTTTTGGTTGGATTAAGTTCTTATACCTAAAATAAGAGGCACAATACACCTCGGAGGATAGGTGGTGCAAGAAACGTAAAGGTGGCATCCATGTTGTAGAGTTACGTAAGGTGGGGATAGAAGCAACTATTTTGACCTCATGAACAGAATATAAAAATCTCACAATCTTAATGCACTTCGAACAAAAAGTAGAAAGAACTCGTAGAACGAGAAAACTAATGATTGCATTGAGGACGACTTGTTTCTCCACTAGCATCACCATCGTCCTCTCAAACCAATTATAGCATTTGAAAGATGGTCTAAGGTCAAGGACTAGTTATGTGATATCAGTGCACCCTATGTATCGCCCAAGAAAGAGTATTGTAACTCGAAATGACTTAGTTGATTTCAGAGAAGGTACCCCATCAATAGAAGGAGTCATTTCCTTCTCAAGAAAGGCATGATAAAATCAAGAAAATTTTAAACATTCCAAATATACTCAACTCCTACCAATTGTACTATGATCTAATCTCTCACTTCAACTATACTTGGAATGGGTCAAAATAGAGATTCAAGGAGCCAACTATGCAATGGGGGTGGTGGTGGTGACAGCGCCTGGTTGGTGGTGATTTTGTGGGTTGGATTGGGTTGTATAGTAGGGGTGGTTGAAAAATGCTTATTCGTTCATTTTGGGGGGGAAAAAAAAAGTAGTAATAATAATAGGATTCTTGCTGCATTTTTTTTTATTTAGTTGCTTTTTTATTTATTTAAAGAAGATAAAATTCGTCATGTGTAGGAGGATGAAATTTTATAACTTTTGAAAGGTGGAGGATGTTTGGTGCCAAAAAGGTTGAGGATAGATCAGTAACATTTCAAAAACATGGAGAAAAATGTCAAAAACCCTAAAATGATAAGACAAAAATCCAAAAGATACCCTCAACCTTTTAATCTATGGCACACTTATTCCCCCATTTTCATAAATTCGCAGCCCCTATCCCTAATAAGTTTTCGGTATAAATTTGCCATTAAAATAGGGGGCATTTGCAAAAATGTTCAATTTTACATATGTCCATTCAAAAATGTTCACTTTTGATAATCTTTACAAAAATGGCCAAATTTAATACCAAATTCTCTATTTTACCCTTAATAAAAGAATAACAAATTTCATATTGTATATGTCAAATCACAATTAATGCTAGACACAGAAATGTCGAGAACAATATTTAAAGGGTAGAGAAATATCATATTCGGAATGAAATATCATTCTAAACATTTAATAAATCGAGAACGTCGTTTGAGATATCGAGAATATTTAATATTGTAATTTGACGTGTATACTTTTGAAATATAAACAGATTTAAATATCAAGAATGACATTTGAAATGTCGAAAACATAATTTTAATGTAGTTTCTTATGGAAGTTAATTAGGGGTACTATCGTCCAAATAATTGCAAAAATGGACATTGAAAAATTTTGGATATTTTTGTAAATGACTATTTCAAAATGGACATTTTTTATAATTTCCTCTTAAAAAAGATAGATGGAAAATATTATTTTACCCTTCAAATAAAAAAGGAGATACGAGGGGGTTAAAGAATAGGGACAACAGCTGCAATTTATCCTAAAATCTAACATTGATTAACAAACAATATTTCCTTCGGTAATTTTCAGGTGCCTAACATAAACATGTGGAAGAACAATAAATAAATAGATTTTTGTTAAAGATTGACCAAATTCCAAATGGTGGCTGGCGTGGCGTCGATAAAAAAATGAGAAATTTCACCACTACGGACAATTGGAGTATTACTCCCAAAATTGATTTCTAAAGAAAAATGGAAAAAATCTGGACCAACGATCACAGCCAATTAACTATTTTCAGATGAGCCCCTCTAACCCCACAGTCTCTCCATTGGTAAATTTTCAGAAATCAATCATCCATATTCCAATTCGGAAATCAGCTTACTTTCCCTAATTGGTTTTGTCGGTTGTATTACTTCTCTGTTTGTCAACTGATTTTCTTTTCTCCAGCATTTATAATTAAATCTTGATCAAGCTTAACGACTGAAAGTCGGTATTGATCTGTTTCTTCATAAATCTTGATCAAACCCTTATAGCAAAATTTTATTATTTTTTTTCTTTTAAAGATCAGAGTTTACTTTACTACGACAGAATCAAGATTTTCTGATGGCTTGTTATTGAATTTGCTTAGAATTTAAACGTCCATTATTTTACCAATATTCTGATCTGGGATTAGCTCAGATTAATCTGTTTTTCCCAGAAATTTGAGCGAGCTCATATAGCAACTCTGGGTCTTTTAAGATCAAAGTATTTAGTTCTGTAACCAAGTATCAAGATTTTCTGCTGGGTTTTCTTGAAATTTCTTCAAATCTTCGATTTTCGTCGAAAGTCTGATCCGGGAATAGCCCAAATTGCTTTAGAGCTATGAATTTCAGAAGCATGGAAGAATTTTGGCCGTTCTATATGAACCAGCACTCAAAACCAGCCACAAGACGTTGGCATTTTGTTGGCACTTTGTGTAGTATTCTGTGCTTGTTGTACTCAGTGTTCTTCAACTGGCGGTACCTAATTTTCGTGCCTTTGTTTGGGTATTGTTTGGCGTGGTATAGCCATTTCTTTGTTGAAAGGAATGTTCCAGCAACTTTTGGGCACCCCTTCTGGTCTCTGCTATGTGATTGGAAGATGTTTGGCCTGATGCTTACTGGTCAAATGGATAGAGAAATCAAGAGGCTTGGTAAGAGGCCTATCTTGCAAGCCTACTGATTTTCTGATTTTAGTTTGTTTAGCATGTGAATCTTTTTCTATTTTGTTCGAACTTTCTATTCTGTCCTTTCTTATGGTCTTCACCATCTTCTACTTTTACTACTATTATTGTGAAGTTTGTATTTTTTTTTATGCTGCACTGTAAAGTTATTGAGAAATTTCGATGTTGGACACTCGAGCCTAATAATGCCTTACCTTATTCCCTCAACCTTATATTTAGGGGTATATTAAGCATTCTATACTTGTCTTACGTCTTTCTAATAATGTTGCATATAGATGGGATTATATAGAGTATACATGCAGAGGTTTGGGATCACTGTTCCACCATTGTAGTCTTTGTTCTTTTTCATAGTAAAAAGTAAAACTGTGGTGGTGAATGGATGTAGACAGTGAACCACTATAATCTGCATGTTTCAGGTGTCGTTTTGCTTAATATTGGTTTCTTGTGATCGGAACTGGCTTTAATCCCTAACATTCAACTATAGCTGCCTTTTGGTTAAGCTCATGCCCATATATGTTCATATGTGTTTATATGGGGTAATTCTCAGCTTCAAGAATGCATTATGAAGATGTCATTTGTAATTTTAAATGGTTGTGGTTCTAAAGTCATTTGATTTTAGATTTACGTCCTAGTCTAACCTGAATGGAGTTGGAGGGAAGTACAAGAAAAAGCTTCCGATTGATCATCCCATAGCAAATATAGCTCTCGTTGCTTTGTTCCTTCTCTACATATCAAATATACATCAGTCTAGAGACAACCTCAATCACTGTTACAATGAACACAAAAGTGAGTATAGTGCCATGCCCCATTGCTCCAAGGCTATCTCTGCTAGAGAGACTCAATAAATGTTTATTTCTGGAAAGTTGAAGGTTACCATAGAAGGCTAAATCAAAGTGAACTTTTTTTGGAAGTTTAAGCAAAACCACACGACAGTTAATCTTTGTTTTCTTGGTGCTCGCCCAACCATCTCTGTCTGTCTCTTTTTCCTGCTTAACATGCTTTGCAAACTTAACACCAGATTTCACCAATTACTACTCACTTTTGATCACCTCAGATTTTTAATTTCGGGATAGATTTTGTTAACTTCTTTACTTAATTCACTCTTTGATAACTGGATTTGAGAAGTCCTCGAATATAATCAGGTTCTGTATTGTGTTGAAGTTAATGTTCTGATTGAGATAAGGCCTAAATCTATACTTCTGTTTGTGGTGGATGCTGCTAGTGCGAGTAGGGTGGATGTAGAGATTTGAGAAATTTGGGAAAGTGATGGTGAAAATTGACTGATCTTGAGAGAATGATGGATCTATCTGTTTAGGATAATAAATAATATTTCTACTACTTTATGGTGACTTGGGAATTTTGTGGTCGTAGTCCAGTAGTGGTGGTGGAGGGAGCAGAGGTGCTTATGTTAATGCCTGTATGATCAAGCAATGGAGCATCCAGTATTGGACATATATAAGGAAAATATTGCTTGCCATTAAATGAAAATGATCGTCGCTCAAGTATTCTTTCTGCAGTTAGACCATTAACATCGATTTGGCTACGATGAGAACCCCACCTCGTATTCGACAAGTTATTTTACTGGCAAAGACAGGTGTTAGGTTTGAGATGTCTGGTTGGTTGGTTAATTAGTCACATTTTATTCATGGGAAATGCATCCGAAATTCTTGTTGGACAAGTTCAACACGAGCAGGAGAGACATAGAGCCTCTTAGTGCAAACGAGGGGGGAGAAATAGACCTCTTAGTGCAAACGAGGGGGAAGGGGGGGTGGGGGGAATAGAGACATGCATGCAAATTTTCTAGTAGAGCAAATTGAATTATTACGTCAACAAGCAAAAGGTGGCAACTATTATTGCATTCTAATCCCAAACAAAATCATCTCGGGCAGGCTGGCACTTGAACCATTACAGTTTTATCAAGTCATCGACCTGTTAATTGATCTGGTTTAAATCTACAATTTTACTGCTATTATAGAAAAAGGGCAATAAAATGAATACATAAAATTGGCTTCTCATTAATTGTTCAAATACAGATTTTAATGGGAAGTATATCAGAGTCGAAAAATTTTAACTGCTGATAGCAACTTGATCCTCTGTCTTACAATCTGTGTGATATCAACCAATACAGCACGATGTTGTTTTCCATAAAGGTTTTAAGTTCAACTACTTTATCTGTGGAACTAGAGACGGAATTTACAGATAAGAGTGAAAGTACTTTTATCCGCAGCATTTCATTTCATTTGCGTGGAAGATTTGAATTAACATTCTTCTGACTTTGATTCGCCAAAGCTCAAAATCAAACTGATTTCAATCCAGAAACTTGATCAAGTTTAGAGGAACTGTTGCATTTCTTGCATGTTGCCACAGTACAGCTTGAATATTGTCTTCACAAAAGCAGAGGAGAAGGAACTTCAGGGGCCAAAAACCAACTCCTTTAAAGATGTTAATGGTGAGGAGTATCCATAAGCTTGAGAGTCTCTCCATAGAGTGATTCCTATTGCAAGGCAAAAATGTATTCAAAGCACCCACAATCAGCCAGCATATACAAAATGGAAACAGAGAATACATAGAAAACGTGAGGCCTTATTCAACATCAACAAATTGAGAAATTGTAGTCAGCCTAGACCACACCTTCCTGGAAATCGAGAGAGACTGCTTATTAAGATAGAAAAGGTTCGAAATTGAGTTCCATTTGGTTAGGAATTCTGTTTTTCTTGCTTTATTGTATATTTTGCGTAAAAACCTAATTTCAGGACTCATGCATAGCAAGTGGCATTGGAGCCCAACACGAAAATATAATCCAGTGCAATCCCTTTTTAATTTAAGGCATATTGTTGTCGGTGGACGAGGAAAGAATGGCAATAATTAAGCCCTAATCCCAATGTTCTGGTTCACCTTCAATGTGAGTGATACTATTAAAAAAAAAAAGGAAAGAAAGAAAGAGGATTACACACTGAAAAAATCTTGGACCTCTTTATTCACATCCCACCACAAATTTCTTACCCTTTCGTGTAAGGTCCCATTTCCTTTGTAATAAATCAAGACAAAGCGAATTGGCTAAGCTTAAAAGAAGCAAAAATAATAGAAGTTCTCTTTCGTTTTTTCTAAACATGTTTGAATATGTTACTTGTGTCGAAACTAAGTCACCATAACCTTGCTATCAAGCACAATGTTAAAACTTCACACCAGAGAAGAGAAACATAGGACGCACCTATCCAGGCAATAAAGCCAAGGGTTGCAGCCAAGAAGAACTCCTTGCTAATACTGTTGAAGCTGAATTTACAGCAAGCTTTAAGTTTAACTAGAGATGTACAGCCCTCGAGATACTCTTTTCTGAAAAAAATTGTTGCAAATCAACATTTAAAAGCACATACCAATACATGCATATTAGGTTGCCCAATCCATAGAAAATACAGCCCCAACTCGAACCAGTGAACCTGCAAATAAATTCTTACATTACAAATTCTTAGTCATACTTTTAGTTGGAATTGCAACTAATTCACAATTACTAAAGAAAATAAATGAGGTTAGAGTAGTAAGCTTGGTGGATATTTATGTAAAGAGATTTAGCGCATGTTCAGAAAAGCTTATAATTTTTATAAGCTTGTCAAAAACTATTTTTAATCACGTCCAGGCTCACACGCGGTAACGTTCGTGGTGGTGCTTCAGAATCCCAATGCACTACGTCCAAGATTAGAACGAGCTTGCTAGCAGACCACTACCGTCCCATTCTTGAATGAGCTGGAGCGCAGCCATTTTATCCACTGAAGTAGAGATTGGGACTACTCTAAGCTACGGTTTCACTGCCTTATAAGAGAGAGAGAGAGAGAGAGAGAGAGAGAGAGGGCCTAATGCCCTTGCTCCTCCCTTGCCGATGCCTTTTCAAAATTCTATTTGGTTGATGCTACAGGTTTCTTCCTTTTTTATATTTATTATCAACTTTTCGGAAAGTTGCTACGCCGCTACAACTACTGGAAAAAACTAGATTAAGGTATTGCAGAAAGAACCTTTATTCTTTACACTTCTACTTTCGGTTCAGATGCAAGATGATGTCTCGCTTAAAAGGGTACAGGTACTACTGGAAAAACGACTACCTGCCAGGGATAACTACTACATAGGGTGGTTGCTTTCTTGACCTACGGAAGAGCGTAGATAGAGGAGTCGTCATTCTCAATCATTTCCGGGGTAGGCGAAGGAAAGCCCTCCAGCTCCTGCCGGTCCCAGGTTTCCACTCAAAGCGCCGTCAACATTTATTTTTATATCCTAGGCATCCGGAGGAATCCAATTTATTAGCACCTGATTTGCGGCAGAAGATACCACCAGACACCCAATCCCAATAAAAAACACGTTAGTACGACGAATAAGCTGTCTTTGACATAGGCAAAGGATATTGCCCCTGATAAGAGAAAGTAAAGTGGGGGAGTGCTGTGCACAATCTTGAAGTATGGTAAGGTGTTATCATTTTCAATGATACCAACTCCAATCGGCCCCGGCTTAGTACTTCTTCAGCTTAAATCAACAGGCTAAGTTTGGAGCACTAGTCGAGCCCTCTAGAAGCTGTAAAGGAGAGCAATCACGATTGACGAAGTCCACATAGTCGCGACGTCTTCAAGTCAGATCAGCATGGTTGCTCCCTTAGTCTTCAATCCACCCATTAGCTGATTCATTTGCCGTGGTTCGCCCGCCTAAGCAGAGTCGAAGTTCGTGGGATCCATTTGTAAAGAACATATCTTTAGGGGTCACCAAATCGCCAAGTCGACTTCTCATCTATTCGCATTAATGCGATCCCATAGAACTCAAAACTTATACTCACTTATTATCCACACACTTTGTAGCTTATAATCTACTACTTTGCCCAACTTAGAGCATGTTATTAACTCCTCAATACATTAAAAAGCCACAATATTTTATTGCGTTTATGGAATAACAAAGAAACATCATTAGAAACACAACTAAATTTATAAAACAGAAAAATGCGGGCCTTTGCCTTCTTAATAATGAAATGTCGATTAGATTAACCATATTTAAACCTAAGCAAAATCATTGGACAGTAGGAAAAGGGACACAGACATACCACATGAAATCCCGAATAAATAAGGCACGTGGAATCATAAATCCATTTCCAATCATGGCTAGTAACATTGTGACAGCTGACAAACCTCTTATGTTATCAGGATTCAGAAGATTTGTCCACTGAAAAGGAAGTATTAGCATCGACAAGAAGTCACACTTAATGACCACGTGATAAAATTAATTTTTGTATATGGGAAAAGAAGATGGATAACCATTTGTGCAACAGGCATCCACATGAAAAGAAGAGTGGCACACCAGCTAGATACTGATCCCAGAAATTTTGTGCCTTGGTCCGAGAGCTTACCAATCCGAGCCTGAAAAAGGTATGCAGCTGCAAGATTAGAACAATATTCTCCCTCTCAATTCTAGATCAAGTACTTAAAAATATTCTGCCCTATTCCCAAAAAGATAATATATGAAGTACAGATTGGTCAATATACATGCATGCAGAATATGTGCATAAATAAATGCATATATGCATAATTGACTAGAATGCATTTCATATGACTGGCTTATATCATTTGGGAATCTCGCGATCATGAAATAGAGTAGTCTAATGTAAATTTTGGCACCAAAGCATGACAAATAATGAAATCGAGCACCATAAGATTAAATCATAATTTACTCAGACAAACTAAGTCATCACAGTCACGGTTAGAAACCTGAATCTTTCCTCTGAAAGTGTAATCAAGGACCAAGTTGGGTACTTCAATACTACATCATTAAGAGAGCTATGAAGCCTTTCAAAGAAAGCAAAAGGAAGAGTATTTAACAAAGAGAGAATTTCTGCTAACAGAAGATAAAGAACTAAAAATTTATTGAAGATTATAAAGAACATATATTGCTGTCCTCAGGAGGTTCAAGGAATAGTAACTTAACGTGAAAATATTAAGTCCATTTTGCTTTCAATATCAGGATATCAGGATGCAACTGAGACATGAAGATCTTAAAATATATCAGTTCTTCTTTTGTTCCTATCTCACCATTGTAGTTCATTTTCTCGTTTCTCGTTTCTTTCTTCTTATTGTACTCTATCCATACACAATTGAATGCTATCAATGATTTTTGCAGTCAAATGGATTGTTTTACTAACTTATTTCATGCACGTTTCTTACCTTTTTAGTTGCGAAAGTTCTAAATGTATATGATGGCGCAACTTTCTCAATAAATAAGTCTGGAAACTAAATGAATTAATAAGAATTTGTACGTTGATTTTTTTATTTTTGCCAATTGACCTGGAAATCAAATGCCAGCATTCCATTGTAGTAGGACTAGGACTATTATATTTATTATTAGCAAATCTTTTGGTTGACAAGGGAGACATAGTCTTTCAAGTAAATTATCAGGATAGGCTGGGAATTGTTGCATAACCATGTGTAACCAGTGGTGCACCCTCTCCCTTCATGTAATCAGGCACTATTTTTAATTTGGTCATCACTAATAAACGCTGCAAAATGCGAAATGTATAACAATCTGATATGCACATTCCAACTTTAACACCCAAGTAGAGTTTAACGATGTCATGCTTACCATAAGAACAGCAAGCACAGCGGTCGAAAAGGAAATCACTCCAGGCAAGATAGTGTTTGGAACATATGGAACAAATGTCGACCACATAACCTAAAACTCCATCCAAAGTTGATAAAGATAAGAACAAGGAAAATTTATGCGGTTCTGAATCCAGTGAGTTCTATGCATTTGAATGAGAAAAATATTACTTGTGGAAGGGCAGAGAGCCCTGCAATAGTAATAAAATCTTCCCAAACATGCCAGATTTCCAGATTGAGCAAATGAAAGTATTTCATAAAATTCACGATGAGGCCAGAAGCAACCACAATGGAAGTGGCAATGAAATGAGGAAGAGGCATCGCTTCAGCCATGGCCAGCTGCAACATCACAACAAAGATGGATACAACTCCTAAAGTCTGCACCACCACTGCTTCAGTCTCCCTCTTCTTGATAAAGTATGACATCAAAGACAGATTCCCTAGCAATCCAGTGAACATCCCCTGTAGCCAATAATGATTGATTTAATATGTCAAATGCTGGTTGTGCTGAAATTAAGTTCTGATTAAACTAAGCAACCGTGAAAATTATGTTTGGCAAAATATGTAACTTATAAGCACAACCATATATACTAAATCCATATATGCAGTAATAAGGCCAAACAGAATGTGGTACCAGCCATGGAACAGCTAAGAGTGCAGACTTGTTTCCTGCTTGAAGATTCCGAGCATTAAGTATGATCTGAGGCAGTTGCAACAACAGAAATGGTACATTTGCAGCTCCTGCAAACTTTGCTGTCATTGAATCCCATTGCTCAAAGTTCTCACCTCTTCTTAGTGTTGATGGTTCCTGTGTTTGGTTTTCCTAGGAATGAACAAGGATTTTAGCCCCAGGTCAAAGAAACTTCCCGGCAGATTAATAAATTACATTAAACAGCATATTAACCAGAAGATGGATTTTAAAAGTTTACCTTTGAGGGAATGATAGAGATGCAAGGATAACACTACAACTAGACAATTATTAATTCAAATGAGAGCTGATGGTGTAGTATGATAGTACCTGATTAGTGGGATGCGATTCTTCCGAGTTAAGCGCGGTAGCTGGTTTGAGCTGATAATGGCATGCTGATAGTCCGAAGACCAGCGTCTCCTTCGAATTGGGCTTTTCATGGATAATTCGTTTGGAGTACGATTGTGGACAGAAAATGAACTCTAAATGATGAGGATAAGAGCAATAGGACAGTCGACAAATTTGCAGGGGTACCTTACCCCAAGGTAGTAATGAACTTGCCATTTGACTTTTCAGAAAATAATAATCTGTGTCTTGCAATTGCAATTGCAATTGCAATTATGGAATTTGGCCAAAAGGTGCAATTCAAGATATAGTCATATTAATTTGCCGGTGACAAAATTCCAAGTGAAATGCTGCATCCTGACAAAGATAAATGCATTTTTTTAGCAATAGTTATATAGTTATATATATGTAATGACTATATGCCCAGGAATGACCGGTGAACTAGTGTGCTATGTGGTCCCATAAACTCTATTATATCTGAATAAGACCTCAATTCATTCACCTAAATCGGATAAAAAATTGTCAATGACTCTGCATTAGAATGAACTTTTACTCCACAACTTTAATTAACTAATGTGCATGCATTAAAAAGCTATGTTCCTTAGTAACGAGTTAGAAAATCACCAATCAATCCGAGAGGTGATGCACTTAATTGATGGAACATTGTTTGATGATGATGATGATGATGATAATGATAAAAATAATAATAATAATTGAAGTTACTAGTTTTGCCAAACATGCTTAACTTTTTTGTTGGAATTTTAGTTCAAAAATTTACTGTTCTTTTTGTTTACTTTCCAAAAAAGTACTCCGTACTTTTCTTTAGGATTAGCCAAACATACCTCATTAGCAGTTAAAACTATACGTTCTCCACAATTTGTGATAGCTTATCCTGAAATTATCTGAACCCAAAGCTCGTAATTCTTTCAAATTAATGCTTCATCAAAGCGATCACCAACCCATTCTAGCGATTTCAATTGTCATGGTCCTCAAGTACAAAGAAAATTTCTTCTGGGCATTTCAACAAGCAGAAACAAGAAAACCCTGATTTTTCAAAAACTCAAGATTAACGAAAATATTTACTAAAAAGCCGCCCAAGTTACAAAATCTAAGAGAAAATAAATTCGGATAACACGTACCAGTTTAAAAAGCCGCTGCAGAACGAACGAGAGAACACTACACTTTTAAGAGATGCAATATTTTATTTGGGTTCCTTAATTTTCCAGAAGTTTTATATCAAAAGTATGCATATGTTTCTTGTGAGCATGTGAACTTTCAGATATCCTGAACCGAACCTGATCCGCAGGAGGTGGTGTGGGCGGTTTGTGTTCTTGATATTTGTAGGAGGGAACAAACCGTTTGTCTTCGACCTTTTTGCATGTCACGCGGATGGAGAGTTAATTGCTCCAATGTTACTGAACTTATGTCAATGTCATTAATTGGTTAATAGAGTTTAAAATATCGAATTTTAATCACTAAACACATATCACTCTCTTAAGGCTTAACCATTTTTATTTCACAAATTAGCGTAAATAATCATGTTATTGCTTAAAATACCCCTGCGAACTTTTTTCCATTTTATGACTCCTTTAACAATAATGTAACACCTAAGAGGTTGTTTTAACACTTCTAATCAAGTCAACAAAAGGTATTCTTTAGACCATCAATTCTTCAAAAATATTTTTATATCTAATTTATTTAAATAATTACATTGGAAAACACGAGATTCTAGTTGTGAATTCATATAATATGCCCTTGTTTGATCCTTATTATTTGGAAAAAAATGAATTTTTTCAAGAGTGTTTTGATATCATTTCAACTACACATTTTTCAATAAAATAATATTATACACAAATTCAAAACTTTTTATTATTTTTTAACCACACATTTTCCATCAATACACTATTCAAAAATTCATTTTTCCTTTCAAAATGGGGCTCGAACAATGGCTATATTTTGAGATTTGATAGTTATGAAAATGATATTTTGAGATTTGATAGTTGTCATGAAAATGTTTCTTAGGTAATTAAACATGACTACATTTTCTAAACGTTCATTGATTTGCAAATTTATAACTTCTATTGACACATAAAAATTCAGCCTAAATCGAACGAGCCAAGGAATGAAGCCCAATTGGAGGATCCCTAAATCAGATAGCCCAAAGAACGAAGCTCAATCAAACAATTCATGAAGGCCCAAATAGGGAGGCCCAAGAACGCGGTAACACCATCGCCCAAGTTTGCAAGTCGCCCAGAATCTGAGCGAATAGAGTGTCATGCAGTCGCTCAAAGCTGTTACTCTATTCTCGCCCAAACCTTCGAGTCACCCAAAGTCTTAGCAAACATAAAGTGTTGTAGTTATCAAGAAGTGCAGTTATCAAAGTAGTTATTAAAGCAGCCCTATCACATTTCACGATTCAAGAAATTCAATCGAAAACGGTTGAACGACGAAGAGTAATGGCAGCAGTTAAAAAAGGCAGCTCTATGACAAGTTGGCCATTACGAGGAAAGTGGGCAGTTATAGAACGATCCAACAGTTTTTAGGCGGTTGATCACAAAGAGATCATCCAAGGAGTATAAAAGGAAGGAAAGACATAGAGCAAAAGGACCGAATCAAAAACTCTTGAACAGAGAACATGTAATTTTAAATTCCTTAACTTAGATTTAAACACTTCTTTCAGTAACTCGTGTGCTTGCGCCCCTTGGAGGCATTCTGTTTTTAATTTCCAATTGTAAAGTCATCGCCAATAAAAGAACACACCTTTTTGGGACTTTGTCTCAAGAGGTTTGTCCCTTACACAATCGTCTGATCCCTTTTAATTGTTAGCGATGAACCCGCGCGAAACAATTTGGCACGCCCAGTGGGACAGTGGTGTTTGGTGTTGAAAATACAAAAGGTGAAACAATATGCCTCAGAGATCC